TGCAAGATGCATCGTTGTTATGGTCCTCAATTAAAAATGGTATATTTGCAAAGCTATACTTTTTTAATTTGGTCATAATTATTAGAAAATTTGTATTCATATGTCAATTGAACTCGGTAAGTGGAAAAGAGAAGTTTTTCTGACGCAAATGTTCTAAATTTAAAGCTTCACTACTGATAAATAACTCTCGAAACGAAACTTAATAAATGGCCGTTTTATTTAGTCCTGCATCTTGTTCCCAGAAATAAAATCTGCATTCGAATTTGTGCACGAAACCTTAGAAGATAATTTTTAAGTTTTATAACTGGTGGTATATTCGAACACTGAAACAAACATTATAAGCGGAATAGCATTCTTACCATATTGTAGTACTGGAATCCATATAGTATCCCATTCGGTTGAAGCGAGGAAAAATTTTAAAACGTTACAATTAATTATAAGGACATTACTTAAAATCTACAAGCTACTTACGTTTTAGAGAAATCTTACAATATGTATTTTTTTAACTGATAATTAGCATGCAAGACCTTTCATTAATGTACGAATAAATAAGGCCACTGAATTCTGGTCAAGGGATTTGTTCTTGAGAAATAAACCAGCTGGTTGCATATTTTATCTCCCCCTCCTTTTGGTTTTCTTCATGTGTAAAGTGAATTTATACCAATTTCCCTTAGATAGTCCTCCACCAAGTATCCTTTCTCAGGAACAAAGATCTCGGCTGTTTTGCTACAATAAATAAGGTAATCTGTCATGTAGATCTAAAATGAAGCTGCTTTTAAATAACATCATTCAAAAATCTTGAAAAGGGTTGTTGAATTATAAGTTCAATTTCGATAGATGGGACTGCCAGACTTGTTAGAAGGCTTCCTCACTGTAATAGGTTTACTTAAATATGGGATGTTATACTTTTTTAAGGAGCTTTGTATTAGGAAATACCTTGCAAGGAAGACAACTCTCAGTTGCTTTGATGCAGTACTTTATTCAGAAATAAAAATGTTCTCTGTAATGTCCTATAATTATTCAGCTACTTTTCTGAAAGATGGACGGCGGTGGCAACGTTTATATAGTATTTCATTTTATTTGTGGTCAGTAAATGCAGTATGAACACAGGTTTAGGTTTTTGTTTTTCAGTTAATTCAGAATGAAATTCATTCTCAATAAATTTTAAAAATATCCTATAAATATACAAAACAAGAATTAAAGAAATGGGGAACTGAAACCTAAAAATTATAAAAACCAGAAAAAATTACCAAAACCAGAAAAAATACGTAAGGAGAGGAATTCAATCAAATCTGATATAACATTATCAAGAAAGAATATATCAGAATTAGAACTATTCTAAAATATTTAAAATACTTTAGAATAGTTCATCAGCTAATTTTGGATACAGAAACGTAGTGGTCTTCAAGTGATAGTGGGATTGTAATTGAGTCTGATATATCAGATTTGACTGAATTCCTGTTCTTTTATATTCTTCTGGTTTTGGTATTTTCCCTGGTTTTTATAATTTTAAGGTTCAAGTTTCATATTTCTATAATTCTTATTTTGCATATTTATAGGATATTTTTGAAATTTTATTGATAGTGAATTTCATTTCTTTTGGGTCTTTGTGTAAAATTGGTTCTAAATTTCTTAATTTTTGTCTGTACTGGTCAATTTTCAGCAACATATTGCGCGGAAATACTTGGAATAATTATGTTTCTAAATTTTAAAAAATTGTGATACTATTAGATATATATTCAGGTGTCCGTAATTGTTTCCTCTATTTGATATAACGAACAGATACACACAAAACAACCCTTAGTACCTTTTCAGTTCTTTCATATCTCCTAGCTTGAAACTCTTTCTGAAGAGAAAAAAGTATTCTAGCTAGAGTTCATATTTTTTAAAAACTTATAACCAGCTGTCTGTTCATTGCAATGATATTAACCACAATTTAATTATCTTTCCACTTTGAAATTTTTACGTAGATAACTCCAATAAGATACATTACGAGTATTATGCTTGCGAATGGTTTAAAGAGCATTTTAAGCAAACAATGTATTCGCAAAGGGAAAATAAAAAAGTTTAAGAAGCGTTTAAAGAAAAATCTGAAATGATTCAGATTTTAACGTTTGCCTAAAAGAGTTTCTTAAGGTTTTTTTTACTCTCGCTGAACTCGCATCTACCAGTCTGCTCTTGCATTCACTCCTGATAATCCATTTTTTTCCCTGTCTTTTATCTTTTATTACTAAGCATAATTTTCTTCGTCCTTAAGCCACCTGCAGTTCAACGAAAAATCCCAAAATGTTTAGCTGCATAATAGCGTATGCTATTTTGTTCAGTCTTTTCTCAATTCATCATATCAATATTCGGTTTTCTTAGTAAGATGGGCAACAGAAAATTTTTTTTTGCTTCTCATTATTAACTTTTTATGTGTTAACTTTATTTTTTAAATATCGCATTCTTCGCACTTACTTCCCATAAAATTCAATCTAACAGCAAAATGATAAAACATTTTAAAACAGTATATCTTTGGAATTCTCGACAGACAAGTTTAATTTCGTACAGTGTTGGCATTACTCACTTCCAAATCGTTGAATTCGTTAATAAAAAATTCCTTAAAGTTTCAAAAATACAAAATAAATAAAAAAAATTCAAAATTTAGGCTTCGAGGTTCACATATTCGGGTGGAGGACTGCGGGATTATAAGTTTAATGGTTCTGTAATATAATCTATATATATTATAGTGGAAGTGTGTGGAACCTCACAGGTGACAGTGCGATTTAGCTCAGTTCCGCTCCCGTCATTTTGATGAAGAGCACCCCCCGGGGGAAGATCCGAAGGTCTCCCACCCCTCTCCCTTCTGTCAAACCACCCCCCCCTTCGGCCAAACCACACGGGAAGACTTTCGGCTCGCTGCATATTTAGAGTGCCGCCATGCCGCACCGACACTATACATTTACTAACATCCATGCCTTCTTTGGGATTCGAACCCGTGCCCTTCGGCACGGACGCTAACCACTATCTCGGTTAGGCGGCATAATAAAATTTAGTGGCAGCAATTTGAAAAATGATTCGCCGTTTATAGTTAACCGAACGCAAAATTGCGTTTCGAGACTAATTGCCCATTTTGCGCTAATAAATATATTAAATAAAAAATTCATGAATTTTTAAAAAGAAATAAATAAAAGACATAATTCAATGTTTCGCTGAAAAGAGTTAACTATATCCTTTTCAAAGAATTATTGATTAGGTAGAAATTTACAATGAAAGGGGAATGGAATATTTGAAAGAAAAATCTGTCAGACAGATAACCTTCAATTACTGACTTTCATAATTTCATAAAATTTTACAACAAATTGTATTCCCCCCTCTTTTTTAAACTTTCAGTTTTGATATTGTAATCATTAATGGAATATAAAGTATAATCAGTTGTATATCCATGTAGTACAAACGAATAATTGAGGATAATCATATTCTGAATTTCATTAATTATTGGACAGAAAAAGTATAAAAAATATTTGTTAATAAGACGCCAGTATTTTAGTAGCAACTGTTTAGCAACTTTTTTTGATTGCATATTAAAAATTGAGCAAGGGCTATGTAAGGCGAAAGAAGCCTTTTTAAGGGAACTGACTTGTATTAACTTGGATACTTGCGAAAACCATGAAAACTTCCATGTAGTTAGTTCATGTGCCGAGATTCGAACCGAAATTAAACTACTGATAACCACACTTAGCAATGTGTTATTATTAAAATTTTGAGGTGGTGCCGCTGATAGAAATTTTGAAAAATGAAATTTCACTTATGGTCATTAGATTTCTAAATACATCGAAAAATTTTACATTGCTATTGAGGTATAGTTAATTTTTCAATTGCAGTAAAATTTTAATAATTGAAACTATACTTCATATTTATGACTTTTGATCAATTTGAAGCATTTCACTGTGAAACAATTCACATTGTCATTTATTCCTCCCGTCTTTTTTCCTCACTGCAATACGAACTTTGATTTTTAAAACTTTAATTTTCATTTTTTAAAGTTAGATGTTTTGTTCCTCCCCTTCTATCTATAGATAATCATAAAAATGATACTGCCAAATTTGTATTGTGAAATAGTAGTCATTTAAATATAGATGTATTTTTTTGAAAAGACATTATTTATCATTAATTTTCGTCATATGAATATACTTACTTATTTATTATTATTATTCTTTTTTTTTTTTTGTTTCATGCGCCAAGTGTAACATAATTATTATATTTCTTAATATATTATCATATTATATTCCATATATAATGATATACGGAATATAAATAATCAATAATATAAGTGATTTGCGCAATAACTAGAAGCGCCTTCATATTGCTTGTCAGAGTCAGTTTGAAATGACGTTAAGATATACAACATAGTCAACCTAATTACTGCAGTATCTAATGTTACATTGAATTTTCGAAGTGTTATTTTTCTTTTTAAACATTTCTAAAATTTTGTATAGTGCATTTGACATTTGTTTGAAAAATTTTTTCAAGTAGGATTTTTTAAAAGATATTATTCATTCTCAGAATGATAGGATGCAGTGTTTAGGATATGGGAAAAAAACAAATAAAAAATTTACATATGCTTATATTCATGTTTTTAGTGAAATTTCAATAAAAAATACCCTTATTACTAACACTGCGTGTTTCTGTCGAATCATGAATCTATCATTCGTTACTGCAGTTCCGAGGAATGATGTTAAGGTAAAGCTAGCCTCCATGACGATCAGATTTTATTTGAAAAAAATAAGAACAAGAAAGACATTTTAACCTGTTTATTTTTTCCCTAGGAGCGATCAAAATCTAATAGATCGTATTGCAGTTAAAAAAAACTAAGATTCGTTTTTTCTTATTTTTATAAAAAAAATAAAAGAATAACATTGACAGTTTTTCGAATCGAAAAATAAGGTTTTAAATTCTGAAATGAAGAGCCAGGTAACGCATGCGCAGTTTTTTTCTTCTCCTTCCGCGGGGGAATGAGGATTACCATTTCCCATAGACATCTTCTGGAAGTGTGTGTGAGTGCTTACGTTGTCTTTGCTATTGCTGTAAAATGCCGACACCTTTGAGAAGAGATGAGGAATTATCTGAAGATCAAGATGCTGCAATTGATGAAGAGGACGACGAATCTTTAGCTGGTGAGTTTAAATTTTAATGAGAAGCATTTTTAAATTTTTATCTAAAACTGCTTGTCTAATCGTTCGCGGAAGCTGTTCGTTCATTTCTGATGTGCTCTTTTTTTTTACTCTGTATAACTATTATTTATTGCAATGTGAATCAAATGATTTCCGAGTGTTAATGAACATCTATAAAGCGATAAATTTATACTTATTTGATTAAAATAGTAAAATAAATGTTATTTAGTTACTGTTATTCTGATGCTACACGTGAAGTCTAGCAGTGATAGTAAATCACTTGCCGGTGCCAGAAACCACATGGGTTTTGTTTTGATCGTGTCAGGAGAGCTATAATGTTCATAGAACTTATTTCTGATCATTCCAGAGTAGTTTATACTTGTCAGTTTCAGCGATTGAAAACAATGGATTTTATGTTATACCATAGAAGAAGGAGAGAAGGATATATATTAGGATAAGTATTACTCATTAACATATTAATATGGCGTAGCTGGTTGCGTCCGGATCGAGGCTGTGAGCGAGTCCACTACTACTTCGGGCAGCATTAAAGAGGGGGGAACAAGAGTATTGTAATCTTTACGGAAGACGTATCGACTCTTGGGGGTCAACTTTCATATTGATTTTATTATAATACAATCTGCGCTTAAATGCTTTTGTCATATTTTAAAACGCAATCGCGTGGTAAGCGAAGATTTAAACTATGGCAATTATTTAGATATTCATTCATCATTTTAACTTTAGAAAACAGTTTACATGAAACTTGTTTCGATTTTACCTTAAACAACTTTATGACATATAATTTGAGACAAATTCTAAATTTCTTAATTACACGTTAGATTTTTTTTTAAAGTGGTACAAACTTAATATTCATTCATCAGATTTTTACCTATCATATAAATAAAAAGAAAAAATGTGAAGCTTTTAATTGGTGTCAAAAATATGTATTATAATTTTGAACCATTTATTAAATTTTCTCATGTACTGAAAAGCATATGCATATTCATGCACAGCTGCCATGTATGTGCATCTGTCTATAATAATTAATATATGTATTCATATAAAAGTGGCTCAAAAATTAAATTTTATATATTTCTTTTTGAAGTACATATTTCATGCTTAATTATATATACCATTTATCAATACTCTGATTTTAATTCTTTGTATATATGGTGTTCGAGTAAATGTGTGATATTCGTTTTGAATGTAATTATTATAGATTTATTTCAAAACATTTATATGTTACATTGATATCTTTCAGTATACTATAAATAATGTAGCAATTCTTTTGTGGTGAAAATTTTTTGCATTATTTTGCAAGTTTTGAGGCAGTTTCTGAGATTTCACTAATGTCAAATTTTTACGGGACACGGAACGGTTTTTTACGGGTTACGGAAACATCCCCAAATTTTTTATAAAAAGACAAATCTTGTAAATTTTTAGTTTTTCTTTTCTCCATTAAAAAAAAAAAGTGTTATAAGTCATTAAATATAATTTTTATTTATTTACATGTGGATCAAATGATTTTAATACTGCCATCTATAAGAATTTATGCAAAAATTGGCCCTGCAAGCTAATTCTTCTGTAGTATTAAAGTAGAACTTTGAACTGTGAATTATTCAAGATGCATTCAACTCATTTGAGCTGGACTGAAAAGTCTGTGTTGATGTTAGTAATTCATAACTTGTTAATGATGAATTGTAAAGTTGGTAACATCTCTAACTTGTTAATGCAACAATTTTTTTACTGCTAGAAACTGCATTTTGTATTCATTTTCTGTTGTGATCCGTCTGCATCTGTGTTATTTATATAGCGGAAGAAAATTTCTAGATATTATTCGGTACTTTTCCGTTTTGCCGGCGCAAGCGATAAAGTTGCTAATAATGGTGCAACCGATGCCAAACGGAATATTCTCGCTGGTAACCTTTTACGCCTCATTTTCAAAACAAGTCGCAGCTTTTTCTTATCAGATTGATTGTTTCTTTCAATACTGACATATAATTACATAGAATTTTTATCAGATAGTTCAGTTTTATGTCCAAGGCCATTTTCGGTAATTAAGTCAATTAGGATGCAATCACAGCGCTTACCCGAAGCCGAAAATATAGAAAAGGTAAAGTCAAGAGTTAAATTCATCAATTCTAATAAGAATGCATTAGCGAAGTAAAGTACTGCAGTTTTACATAATTTCTGAGTAAGCTATTCGTATGAATTGAAATATTTCTTGCATTTAAACTTGTGTTCCAAATTAAGATTTAACTTGAAATTAATGTAGATAATTACTGAGAGCATTAGATTTTTGTAGCGAGTAGTTTACGTGAGATGAGATCGCTTGGGGTTACGTGATATGAACTGGCGAATCAGGATGCTGAACCAGGAAAGCGTAGTAAATTCTTAAATTAATGTCTTTTTACAAATTTATTGTCTTTATTTATCGGTTTTTTATAAAATTTTAAGCGATATTTAAATGTTTATGCCTTTAAAAAAAGAATTCTTAAAACTAACATTTTTTTAAATATTTTTTATGTGTATACTGTATGTTGTCGCCAATAGATTTGCGCCGGCGAAACGGAAAAGTACCTATTATTCATTCATTTGGAGAGTTTAACATTTGAATAAGGTGAATACATCTGAAAGTTGGGTAATTTTCCGTTATGCACCTGCCATGCATTTTTCGGGGAGTATTGTAATAATATGTGTATCTGTGTATTCAGTTATTCTTGTTTACACATACATATACATACATAGTCCTCACATAGTTTCAGCATGTATTTGACTTCTCTTTGCAGGGGTCATAAAGTGGGTAAAATACATAATAAATACATAATGGAAAAGCACCAAACGTTGTAAGCAGTGCAATAATGGAACATTTCATGTGGGCAGAATTTTATTCATTTATTTATTTTTATGCTATTGATCTTTTTGGAAGCAAAGACAATTAGTTGTAAAATGCTTTTACTTGGCATTGCATAAAGAAAAAATGAGTTTCAACATTTGTTTGTAATTAATGCAGAAATGAAAATGTGTTTTTGAAGTAATTGAGAAAAACATAACAGTGAGCAATTATCAAAAGAATTTTCAAAAATTTGCAAATTTGGCGAGAAACTTCACGTTGCCATATTACTATCTAAATTTTTTGTTTACATTTTGAACTTTTAGCTTAAAATGTCTCCAAAAACGCTGTTTTCGCACATACAAAAACTACGTTTTGAACACACAATTTAGCTAAAAATCCGAAACAAAAACAAAAAATTTAGATAGCAAAAACGTAAAGTTTCTAACCAAAAATATTTGACAAGAATCCATGTACACAGCGACATGTTTTAACTTAAAAAAAATCTACGGATTGCACAATGTAGGCAACGAACGAATCTACAAACTACGCAGACCTCGCTTTAATAAATTAACATAACAACAATAAATTTCAAAGAATACCATGTACACAGCATCCTGTTTAAACTTAAAAAAAAATTCTACAAATTGCACAATTTAGGCGAGGAAGGAATCTACGATCTACGCACTCCTCGCTTTAATAAAATAACATAACAACAATAAATTTCAAATAATACCATGTACATAGCGTTCTGTTTCAACTTCAAAAAACATCTACGAATTGTACAGTAGACACTAAACAACAAAATAAACTAAAATACATTTCAAACAATTTAAAAAAACAACAATAACTACAGAAATTCATACTAAAGAACCAATGAACATAACATTCTACAAAATAAGAACAAGGATAAAATAAAATGCACTTACCATGAATTAATGTGTTTTCGAATAGCAGAAATATAAATTTCATACTGCCTTTAACATGCCGCCACGTAATCACTATCGTATTTACATGACAGCCAGACACACTATCCAGAAAATTTATACTATGGTTCACAAATAAATAAAATCACAAATCCCTACTTCTATCATGCACTGCCATTAAAAATAATCTCCCAGACCCTCTTTCCACACTTCCAAATACCCACTACCCCTCAACAGGATAGCCACAATCATATTTCCTTTTGCCGAACTTCAATTCAACAACTACCATTTTATCTTTCCCTCCCATCTTCTCAGACACAGGGGCGAACCAAGGAGCTCCAGCGAAAGATTTTTCAACGTCAACAGGGTTGCCATAGAACACGCAATCGTGCCAAAAACCAGCGCAGAACACATATCGCCACATTTGGTGAAATTAGGGTGTATATTAGAGTTGTACCGGAACTTTTTATTTTTGAAGTTGACAACTTACTTTTAATGTTTAATCTTGCATTAATCTGACTTTTAAAGTTGAATAATACTACATATTAAATTTACTTGAAAATTCGTTGAAAGAAATTATTCTATACCAAATACAGATTTGATTTGGCAGTATTTTCTGAAAATGTTTGTGATATTCATCAACAAATTAAAGATTTTTTAAAATCAGAATGTTATATAAACATCTTAGTTGATAAAAAGTTTAGTAGATAAATAAATTTTGATTATTTTTGCTGTTCCATTAACTGAAGGGGATATTGAAAGCTATGTTACCAGAACTTTGTTAAATGCACCTTTTCTTAAACATTAAAAATAATAATGGGTGGGTGGGGTAATATTCTTGAATAAAACCCATAGCTAAACATTGTACTAAAAGCTTTCCAGTAAATTTAGTAGCAGTATTAGAATAACTATATTATCATTTCAGAACTTAATACTGCAACATGATAATACTTTAGAGTATTAAGTATTTTATATATAATATGAAAGAGTAAACCAAAGAATTAAAAAATAAAATGTTATGCATCTTCTAAAATCTTTGCACAAGATTGGTGCTCCAAAGTATTGTAACAGTACAGCCGTGTTTCGGAATTACAAAATGAACAATTTAATGAAGTCAGACGCTTTTATAAGACTTCAGATTTTTACAGTTTAAGCAAGATAAAATAAATAAATTGTTCATTAATATCATTGTTGATTAATAGGATTGGATACATTAACCGTATTTATTTTAAAATACATTATACAAA